AAAGAGCTTACTGAGTAGTCCAGTTCTCGGTCCATAAGGAAGGCTTATCGTGTCTGTTTGGTCCTTTGAAAGTATCTCCGCAATGCCTTCCATTACAAGCATTGATCACATTTCCAGGAGCATCGTTTTGTTTGCACATAACCCATGGGATTCCTAGATTCAGTGACTCTACCAAATCAGCTGCCCATTTTATATATCTCTCTCCATCCTCTTTGTAAGCTAGCTGCACCGCGTTGTACTCATTCTCTATCTGTCATTTGTTTATATATACACATATGCTTAGAGATTGCAAAGTTGTTATCTTTCAAATGGATGAATATGTATATTATATACCTGTCCTAAGATGATGGGACCTCCTTGTGAAGCAAACAGCTTCTCTTCTTTCATCATCCCAAGTATTTTCCTCACATATCTCTATGTATGCTCCTTCATTGTCATTCGATTTCCTCAGATTTCAGACAGCTAAAGAGCTACTACATTCATTCTATGGGTAAATTTTACCTTGAAAGGTTCATTATCTGTACGGAAGAAAACCTCCGGGACCTCGCGTAGCCAATAAGGCAATCCTCTGAAAAAATGAGTTTAGTTAGCATTTTATAAGCAATGATTTTTCGGTATGAACCATCGTACCCGTGGGTCCATTCGGCTTGGATGAAGGGTCCGAGTCTAAGCGTGACATAGAGACCTTTCTCGTGGACTACTTTGATGAATTTCACCAAATCGAATCTCCCCTCGAAATCCCACTGAAAACCAATAAATGATCATAGCTACAAAAAAGGAATGTAACCTAAAAAGTTGATGATACCTTTCCTTGTTCGGGCTCATGCACATTCCAGAAAACATAAGTTTGGATGGTATTAAGTCTCCCAATTCTAGCTTTCTCAATGATACTAGGCCACATCTGTAAGCAAAACCAGATCCATTGATAAAGGTGTGTAATCATGTTCTTGATCGGTTTAATAAACAAAGTGTGTGTAGATCAGTTTACATCAGGAGTGCTTCGAGGGTAATGAACAGAACCAGAGTAAAGAAGCTCTCTTTTTCCATTTATTATCAATGAAGTTCCGTCGTATGTTACTCCTTTCGATTTCGTCGTCTTCTTCTCCTTGTCATTATAATCATCGTCATCTTCTCCTCCGGCATGACATGCCTTAAAACATAGCGAGACCTGAAGCAGAATCGCTATCAAGTATCGTGTTCTTGACTTCATTCTTGATTGCTTTCTTTCGTGTAAAGAAAGACCAAAACAATGCTTTAAGACAAGAAGGTTGAAACTTGTAATAAAATGTTCCTCTGTTTCTGAGGATTTCCAAAGGTTAAAGAGTGAAGCTCGGAATCTTTGTCTGAACTATTCTCTCTATTTTTGTTCTTAACTACAATTTGATCCGCATTCCCAGGACCAGTTTAGTACCTAACTCGGACTAATTGAAATGGGCTGGCTGATTAGTACTTAATGGATCTCGGACATATAAATCTACTATTCAATTGTCCGGTCTTGTAACGTTTAAAAATATCGTACGTTTTAGTAAATAATATCGTATGTTTTGTGTGATAAATACGATTACGACAGAGATATTTCTCAACATTTGACTTTTAGAGCGACAAGGAAAAGAAAGCATTACAACCATAAAGAGTGTTACAAGTACAGAGACCAAGGCACTAAAAAACAAAACAAGAAACCTAACCCATAAGCATAACAAGGTATTAATATACAAAACAAGACACGAATATTAATCCATAACAAATTGAAAACAGTCCATGACATGATCACATGACCACACAAGCCGCTGGATTCTCATCGCTAAAAGCAGTAGTGTAGCGAACTTCAGTAGAGCTAGCACGAGCCAGCTGCGACACTCCGGGGTCATCCGCTCTTCGGACATAACCCGATGGTGCCTTCTTGTCGTAGACTCCGGCCGCGTAAGGATGAGCCACCACGTCGTAAGGCACGTAAGGCCAGAGCTCGACTTTCTTGCCGGTCTTGTGAGCCATCCTAGAGACAACCTTGTAGGGATCAACGTAGCCGACCACAGTGACTTTGTGGGCTTTAGGCTCCAAGGACACAGAAGACACACCTTTCATGCCTTCCACTGACCGCCGCACTTTCCGCTCGCAACCTTCGCAGTCCATCTTCACTTTGATCTCCACCGTCTATTATAGAAGATCACAAAACGACAATAAATAAATGTTAAAACAAAAAAAACTTTTAAAATATCTAAGAAAAATGGTAAAAATGTCTCTGAGATAATCATCATTCCACGTGATTTTACCCGGAAATTATGAAATTATAATTTCTGACAGC